AGGCATTCAGTCATTCATTGCATTCAGTCGCAGAAATTTTCTGTGCATTCATTACAAGTATTTGATCCAATATCCCATCAAATACTTGTAGAGATTATCTCAATATTTCAAACTTAATCCATGGATTAGATTAGATTTTTATCTCAGCTTTTGAGTCAATCATTGAATTCACAGTCAGTGCTTGTGTTCATTGAAAGACATTAAAAGGCATTTCAAACGCATTGACAACACATTCAAAGACCATAACCACCGAAGACTTTGTCATCAAATCATTTGATCACTAAATGGGACGACAACGCAAAGACAGTGGCGGTGATGAGCGGTCCCTCCAGAAGTGGAAGGGCTATCCGGATGAGGAGAACACATTCGAGGAGAAGCGCCGCAAAGACAAGGCGGGCGGTGCTGGAGGTGCGGGCACTTCCACTTCCACTCCGGAGCCGACCGCCAGTTCCCGTCGCAGGACGGACTCCAAGGATGAGACGCCGGTCGTGGCGGACAAGCGGTCGCGTCGCGCGACTCCCAGACGGCCCGCGAAGGATAAGTCGCTCGAAGAGCACTTCGACTCAGCCATGAAGAAGCCGAGGGGAGGCTTCGAGAGGGGCCTCCGTCCCGATCGCATACTCGGCGCCACCGACGCCTCCGGGGAACTCATGTTTCTCATGAAGTGGTTGGACTCGGATGAGGCGGATTTGGTGCCCGCGAAGATGGCTAATGTGAAGTGCCCGCAGGTATGACACCATCCATGCGTTGCCATAAAGATTACATCACTGTTTAATTGGTAATGTCTTTGTGTGTCTACGTCTGTGTCCACACAGATCGTCATCAAGTTCTATGAGGACAGCCTTACATGGCCCTCAAACGCCGAAGAGCTGAACGCCAAAGAATCTCATTTGGAACCAATGAATGGCGAAGAATCGAAACCCGATATAATATTAGAGAATCAGATTCAACCGGATTTCTATTCACAAGAAACTCAACAAAACTTCGAGTTTGAGGAACCGATAAAGACATCGAAAGGCATTGATTTGATGGCAGATATTGAGTCAAATGACTTCAATCCTCCAATGATTTAATGTCTTAAGAATCTGTACCACAAGTGTCACAATTTGGCGCTCAAGAGGTTCCGCAAGATTTGATTGAATTCTCGTTTTGATCTCTCTATTCATTTTTAAAATAGCATTTAATTACAACTCAAATAAATTGTATTTTTAGTTGATTATCAAATAAACAAAATTTAATATATTTTAATTGTTTTTATAGAAATACTAAAATGTAATTATTCTTTGTTATGTTTAACTGTAAACCCAATTATGAGCTGAATTTTTTATCATTAAATTTTATCACCAGTTACATTTTAAATACTTGTTCACATTTTTACACATTTATTTCCATAAGCACTCATAAAACATCAAATTTATTCAAATCTAAACCAATGCACAGAATATTCTGTAACACTATTAATGTTACAATGAATACATGGATTCAAATAAAGCGCTCTTTAGTTGCCATTCATTGACCAAAACATTGAAAACTGTTTCATTTGTTTTGTATATATTTTTAACTAAAATGCGATTAAAAGTCAATTAAAACTGCATTCAAATGACAATCAATTAAATCTCATTCATCTGTCAATGAATCGTCAGTTTTGCCGCAAAAGTAAACCAAACATTCATTTCATTACTATTT